TGACTACCTGTGGTAGCTGCTAAAAAGCTACAGTCTGATATTTTTTTTTAAACACTTTCTTCTTCAACAGCTTCACAGATGCTTACACTAAACTTGATTATGCACACATTTACATCATCCATCATTAGCATTCACTTTTATAATAATCAACCTTATTTTTATTTTTTTTTATATTCCACCCTTCTTTTTCCACCTCCAACACTTTACCTCATAAATGACAAATTACACGTCATCATTACAAAAAAAAAAAAAAATTGAAAATTTACTAATATACCACACAATTCTTATGTGTTAACAAATCTAATTAACACCTATATTTTAATATTTATATTTATATTTATAATACTTCGATGTCGTTGATATATGCATGAATATATATATATTTTATTTTAAAAAAAGTTAATATTGGTTATATATTTGAAGTGTTGTTAAAATTTTCAATGTTCTAAACTTAAATATACAATTTTAGAAGCTATATATATGTAAATATATAATTGTGTAGTATGCATATGTAAATGTCAACTCAACTCAATTAATATTCAATGATATTTGATCATTTTTAAAAATTCTGTGTTTAAATGAACTAAATTTGAACATAATCCAATCTGTATGTTAATATTCGTAAACAAATGAGTTTATTTTTCAACAATTAACCTATTAAAAATCCTATTATCATATCATATACTATTTAAATAAAATTTAATTAATTAAAACTTATTTAATAATAATATATTATAATTTAAAATAAAAAAAATAATAATTTTTTTTATTTCAAATAACTAAGTTATTAGTACTTATTTATATTACTTGTAAATTATAAAGCATTTTATTTACTTCATATTAACTAGTTAAATATTAATTGAATTTCATTCAATTGCTTATTAATTTAGATTTGTTAATATATATATATATATATATATATATATATATATATATCAAATACTCACTAAAAATTTGATTTTTTTTATTAATTTTATTAAGTACTCGTAGAAATATTTTGCTTTTTAATTAATACAAACAAATCAGATATAAATCAAGAATAGAAAGTAAAAATTTTAAAAAAACCAAATAAAAATAGTTTTTTTTTTAACCTTGTCTAAAGTTCAAAGTGAACATGAACAACTCATGATTCTGTTAAGCCGAATCAAAACCATGACATACTCGACTCGACTCGACTCAACTCTATTACAGCCCTAATCCCAACAACAACAACAACAACAACAACAACAACAAAGCCTTAATTCGAAAATTTTTCTTATACGGTGGCTATTTCAGCTCCAATTTAAAAAATATGGCTACTATTTTAACACTTATATAAATTATGAGATTAAAAGGTACTTAATTGTAATTTAACTCCAAAACAATCACTAAATTCGAGCTTCTATGACGTGCTGCAGAGCATTGATGGGCGTAAAGCGGCAGCGAGTAAATCCAGCTCCGAGAAGCAGACTGCTCCATTCACTCTTAGTCCTCTCCTTGCCGCCATAAGCCATCATCATGATATCGGAAGCCATTCTCGCGTGATGGAGCTCATCGTCCTCGTCGTCGTCTTCTTCAGCCAGCACTATGTCTGCTATTATCAGCTTACCTTTCTCCGCATCAATGGCTTCCCTGCATTTCTCCAGAATATCCATTGCTTTCCCATCGCTCCAGTCGTGCAATATCCTCTGCCATAAATTCATCAAAATTTCATCTTGAGCAAAAATTTGCATGTTGCCACATAATCTTTATGTATTTGCACATCTGACACCCAAAGTTTTTGTTTTTGCATACTTTTAACACCACCCCTTGGCTTCATTTACACATCTGAGCTTGAATAAGACTTGATTGAATGGGATGTAACATAGAAGAAAAACAATTAGGTCCGGACAAAGAGACGTGTTTGTCCAAATTACAGTGTGGATCGGCTGTTCGGACGGAATATTTTCTCGTGATAAGAAGAATTAAGAGGTACTAAGTAATAATTTATCATAAGTTTTTCGAAAAAAAATGTTTTTATTGTTTTTGGAGTTAATTTGAATTTAATTAAACTCAAATTCAACTCAATTTTTTTTGAATTGTTTAGGTGGTGTTCGGCTACAACTTGATTTTACGTTAAATGTGACTGATTGATCGAATCCAATAACTCTGAATGTATCAAACTCTCTGTGACGAAAATAGAGCTCGCAAGCGATGATAAGAGTATATCCCTTAAATAAGTCCTATGATCGAACTTAGTAAATCTGAATTTAAATCATAAAAGAGGCAGAAACGCGAGAAACAAAGACACGATAAATTTGATTTAAATTTTTATTTTTTTATATTTAGCTGAATTTATATTGAAATCATGTATAAATTCTATTAAGATTCTAATTTGACTTAGAATCTTATATGAAGTGACCCAACAACTATCTTATAAAATATTTAATTAAAATTTAATTTACTTAATAACTTTAAGAAGCATTTACATGAACAGCACACAATTCTTATGTATTTACATATCTCACCCATAAACTTTCTCATTTAGCATTATTATCACTTTTTTTAAATTGAAATACACATTTTCATGCAAAGATTTAAGACCCGTTTAGGACAGTTTATTTGGTGTGGTGACGTTTTGAAAATGCACATGATCTGTTTGAGTAAACTGTGTTTTGGCAACATATGCGTTTTTAAAACGCTGAAAACAATGTTTTCACACCGCACTTATTTAGGTGCAGTTACAACTTTCTGGCAGTGGTCTGACTTTTCCGAAAAATAAAAAATTTTTAATGGTCACTGCACCTAGCTTATTATCAAATTATATTTAATCAGCTTATCAGCAGATTATCCAATAAGCTGCAGCTGCCCCAAACGGGCCCTTAAAGCATCAAAGTGCTATTTATGTAAATATAAAAGTTCAAGTGTTAGATACGTAAATACAGAGAATTAGGGTGCTACTTATGTAAATCTCTTTAATTTTGAATAAAGAATTAAATAAATTCAATTTCTCCTCAATTTTTTTTTAAAGTTTTTTCTTTAAATTTAAAATCTACTAATAAATTATCAGCAGAATCCCCAAAATTAAACTTCTAGTTACCATTAGAAGAACAGCATCCCCTTGCGGCACTTCCACAAACATGTCGGCTGCAACAAATTCCACCCCATCACTCCCCACCAATCCATCCACCACATGAGGAAGATCGTAAACCAAAACCCTAATCCCCGGAAACGCACCGCTCACCACCCTCGCCGCCGCCCCCATCCCCCCGCCAACATCTATCAACATCCTCACACCTTCAAAAACCCTCCCCGCTCCCTCCACCATCGCCGCCGCCGTGATCCTCCCGCTCCCCGCCATCCCTTCGTTAAACTTCTTGCTCAGCAACGGATCCCTCGCCGCCCGCTCAAACACCGTCTCCCCACTCACCATCTCGAACGCCGACGCTTCGCCGGCACCCTCGCGGAGACAGACATCGAGAGCATGAAACGCGCCGAGGAAATCTTCGTCGAGGAATATGGTGATGAAGGAGGCGAGGCTCTGCTTCGAGGTGGAGAGGAGGAAGGCGGAGGATGAAGGGGGTAGGGAGAAGGAAGGCGGGCGGTCGTCGGTGATGTTGATGAGGCGGATATGGGAGAGGTAGCGGAGGAGGCGGAGGAGAGTGGAGGGGCGGAGGGAAGGGGTTGGGAGGGAGGAGCAGAGGGTGGGGAGGGAGATGGGGCGGCCATGGAGGTGGATGGCGTCGAAGATACGGAGTTTTACGGCGCATTTGAGGACGAGGGAGTCGGTGATGGAGAGGATTTTGTTCCAGATTAGGGCTTGCCCGTCGAGTTCTTCCGCCGGCCGGATTTCGCGGCTTAGTTCCGGCATTTTTGAGCTTCCTTTGGTTCTCACTCTTCTCTGTTTCTGCTTGGTTTGGTGGTCTCGGTGACGCCGAGTGCCCTCCTTTTATACACCAAAAATGCCTTTTTTTTTTCCTTGAAATTTACACAAATACCCTGTATTTCTTATGTTTTTACATTTCTAGAATCTAATATTTTATAGTTGTAAAAGGAGTCCATAACATGTAAAATTCTCCTAAATTTGGAAAAAAATATTACATAAGGAATTCAGAGTCTAATGGTGGGACGACACGTGTCAAGTGAGCTCCACCCACAGGTTTAACACCGGTCAATATCAGTGTATTACAGTGGACATTTGGATGTATAAATTTTTTGGATGATAATATCTATTACATGTAAATTGGAAAATTTTGATGTTAGATATATAAATACATAATAAATATGCGACATATATGTAAATGCTCATTTTCTTATGTATATTATTATTATTATTATTATTATTATTTGAATGTATTTTTTGTTCTTCCTCTATTATCATTATAAATGTCATGTTACATTGAAGTCAAGTCAATTGAATTTTTTATTTTATTTTTTTAATTTAAGTCTATTTATTTTGTTATACATATTAATTATTATTAATCATTTTATTTTTCAAGAAAAAAGAAACCATGGTGATTTCTTTCTCAGGGAAATTTACATGTATAGCACACAATTCTTTTGTATTTACATATCTGACACCTAACTTTCGTATTTACATGCATATCATTTTGGCACTCTAGACATGTTAATGAGAGATATATTTCATTTTTAAAAAGTGATAATGAAGATTTGTCTATATGTGTGCAAATATGAAAAATTAATTTAGATGTGAGCTATATATGCAAATACATAAAAAAATTGTGCTATTTATGAAAATGCCCCTTTTTTTAATCGTTCAGAGAGTTTTTTTTGGGTGGCATTTACATACATACCACCCAATTCTTTTGTATTTACATATCTAACAACTAATCTTTAACTATTACATTTATACCCCAAATCTTTCGTATCACATAAAAAAAATATTATCTTTTTAAATTATAAAATGTGGAATACACCTTTTTATGCATATGTATATGTACGTGAAAATTTAAGTTTAAGGGTCTGTTTGGGGCAGCTTATAAATGTTGGAGCGTTTTTTAAAACTAAATGTCGCGGTACCGTTTGAAGCGCGCGTTTTGTCTACTTATCCGAAAATGCGATTTTATTTTTACACTAAATGCAGACAGTGGGTCGATTCCAGCGGTCGACCAGCGGGCCGCTTTTTAGGACAATCTGCTTATCCTGAAACGCACAAACTACCCCAAATGCACCATAAGTGTTGGACGTGTTAATAAGAATTGAGCGGTATGCTTGTAAATATTCCTATTTTTTGAAGAAGAAATATAAAATTGAAAATATGTACTTCAAATTTTTATAAAATATTTTTGTCAAACATTAATAGTGGCTTTGGAGGATGATAAGGATGTCTTGACATGCTTTATGTTACATTAGGCTATTGAAAAATGTTCAAACATTAAATATAATTATGCTTAAAATTAAGGATATTAAAAAAACATATATATTTAATTTCTTAAATGCATTTATAAGCTTTTTTTTAAATTTTATTTTTATTTTTTTATGTCTTTTTATATTTTTCGTCTGATGCTGTAACATTTGCTGTATGTTCAACAAATATGATAAATTTACAATTTCGAGCAAGATTGCATAACAAAATTAAAATATTATTTTGTTTTTAGATTTGTTTCCATTAAGTTGTATTGAAACTAATCAATATAGTTGTTTATTTATTTTTCCTTATTACAACATTGTCCCTTTTTTTTTTGTTAATTTATATGTTGAATGATTGAAGTTGTAATGTTTTGCTACTTTGTTATATTGTTTATGTTGGTGTAAATTGTAGGTATTATTTGAGAAAAAAAAAAACATTACAAATACGACATATTAGATAGTTATGGAAGATTTACGTACATTCGTACTCAATTTATACGTATTTATATATCTAACATTTAAACTTCAATTTTTAAAAGATAGTGACATTTTTTTTGTCATGACAAAGACTTGAGCGGTATGAATGTAAGAAATAAAATATAGATGTTAGATACATAAATGTATTGGAATTGAGTGGAATGTATGTAAATGCCCCTATATTTAAATATGTTATAACATATAATGATAGGTCACTGAATAGTAATATTGATCTGCATAAATCTTGATGTATGTTGGGACCAGAAACTTAAAAAATCAAATTTGGAAATGCCCGCAGTCCAATTTATAATCAAATGAAGTGTCTCGATGAGACAAACACAATGACGTAATAAATGGTCTGATCTTAGTTTAAGCGAGTCCAATTCACGCACTTAAGGTTTATCAAAGAGTATTGAAATATGTTTTATGGGACCAAATGATCTCCAAATCTGATAACAATATAGTGAAATCAAGCATCTTGATGGGACAAATCCAACGGTCTAAGAAAACTAATTTTGAGACTATTGACATTCAAACACACATACAATTACATACGATCAAGGGAATCATACTGGGTCATCCAATAGAGTTGTCCAAATTTATGCAGTATTTATGGAGAATGTCACTCTCAAAATTTATAACTAGACCACACTATCTTCATGAGAGGTTGAAGGAAATCAAATCTCTTCTGGGTTCCCAATCTCCATTCATTGCTGGCCACCCACTTTTGTCGCCACCAAACCACTTTCATCGTCTGACCACCATTTCCTCACCAAGATCATCGTCACCGCCAGACTACTGTTTTTGGCCATTGTTACCATTGGAGCAATGCAAAAGCAACAAAATTGTCACCGTTGTACCGTTGCCATCGGGTGTGTGCCCAACCACCACGGTTGTCGTCAGCGTACCATCTCCATTACTAGAGCACAAATGTTTCCCATTACTAGAACACAAATGTGTGGCCACTACCGTCAGACCACTATCGTCGGGCAGCCACTGTCATCGTGCATATAGCACAGAGGTAGGAGGGAGAGGAACTCACTCGCGAGAGAGATGACTCAGTAGGAAGAAAGAAATTAGGGCACGGTTCATGGAGGGGGAGAAATTAAATTACATTAATTTTATGTAAATACCATGTGGCAAGAAAATCATCATGTCACATGACAATTTTGCTTAGTTCAGTAAAATAAATTGTTTTGAATTTAAAACAATTTACTTAATATAATAAAATTTTAAAAAAAAATGTTTTTTTTAAATTTCCAATGCATCATAGATTATTAAAGACCTCTCTATTCTGTTAGACTTCAAGTTATTGTTGCATGTTGGACTCTTCTTTGGTGACCTCAAAGAGCACTTTCTTAATGTCACTTTCTCTATGATGCCTTCTCATATGTTACTCCATCAAACCTTCAATTTAGAAAGGAGATGCCAATATGAAGATGATTGAGAGAGACATGATAACTACATATTTCACAATCTCTTCACTTAATGATGATTTCTTATATTAATTTCTTATTTATAGCCATAGTGATATGATAAAATAAATAAAAATAAATAAATAAATAAAATTTCTCATATAAAATTAATGGAAATGTACATACATACAACACAATTTTTATGTTTAGTAAGTGAAGTTTGATATTTATATTTATGATACTTGTTGGCATAAACATATGCCTGAAAAGTTGTGTTTCACTTTTAAGAAGATAGTAATGATGATATTTTTGATGTAATATTAAAGATTTGAAAGTTATTAATGTAAATAGAAAAAAATAATTGTTAGATTTGTAAATAGAGGAGAATTTTGTGATATGTATGTAAATGCCCTAACATTAAAACTCCTTGCTTGATTATTTCTATTAAGCTATTTTTTAGCTTAGTTCACTTGTGCTTCCTTATAACTTCAAAAAGTGTGTTTCTGTGCTCTATTGTACACAAAAAAATTGTGTTGGCACAAATCTCAAGGCACTCCGTCGACTTCTGAAAGAGTGAATGGTTGAGCTAGATTTTCAAGGAAAAAGACCTGGGGACCCAAAAAATCGATTGGCTCGAGCTAGTCAGAGTTCATCCAAACTGAAGCAATGATACACGCCTAAATGACATCCTCTGCTTGAGGGTATAAGTCTACCCAACAGATAAGAATTCCCCAGCGTAGGAACTGAGCGCTGACGATCAGCCCGACTCATCCACTAAGCATATTTTGCTCAACTGAATCAACGTGTCGACCTTCTTCAAAAATCCAATCAGCCGCTTGTACTTGAAGAGCCAACCAACCAATGATCCCCGTTTAGAAGGCCGATCGACAATGCCAATAAACTCACCTCTTTGGCCCCAATCGATCGAACCAAATGACAACAAGGCTCCGAACCCACAAAGGTATAATTCGTAGAATAGCATGTACATAACGGGTTATAAATATAATTTTCCTTTATTTCTTTCCATATCATATGAATAGAGAGACATTTTCACAGGGACTCTTGACTCTTCACCCTCTCCATATACAAAAATTCAAATTCAATCTCTATAATATCAAAATACCCATCCCACTTAGAACACATAGTTTTCCTCAAAAAAAAAAAAATAATAAATAATAATAATAATAATAATAATAATAATAATAATTACTTTCAAATCAATTGGTAAAAAGTTTAGGAAAAATTAATGCACTCTTCTTATTGTTGGTTATTCACAAAATTATAAATACAACCCCCAGTGTTCCTTCGATCCTACTCCTACTGAGCTCTCTCCTTCACTTGCACAAAAAAATGTTCTCATCAATGAAAAATTGAAACAAAGAAGAAGAAGAAGAAGAAGAAGAAGAAGAAGACTGCCACAAACATGCAGTCTGTCTGAATAGCTAACTTCCATGCTTTTCCTCTCTGTACAAAAAGAAAAAAAAAAAAGAGCAAAAAACTTCTTTTCTGACCTTCATGGCTCCAACCTTCTCAATGGCCTATTCTCTTCCACCCGCATGAGATGAGGAAGAGGAGCTACAGTTACAGCATCTACAGGACAAGTCATCGTCCTTCCAAAGCCACTTCTCTGCAAATCATCAGACCTCTGCATATCCATCACCCCCACCATCGCCGGAGAAGAATGGCTCCTCATGTAACTCTCCATGACAATCAGATTTCCTTCCCTCGGCAATGGAATCAACACAGGCCTCCCATCTCGATCTCTAACCTGTCTGTAAAACCCATCATCCTCAATATCATAAAAGTTCGCAGTCCTCACCTCCTGAGCCAGAGAACACGACCAACAAAACAACCACTGAAAGTAATCTGTAACAGTAGAGCAGCCGCAGCAGAACGGATTTCCCGGAAGCTTGAACTTTTTCCTCATCTCCGATCTCCAGAACCCTCCGTACAGTAATCCAAAGATGCAGAGCACGCTCCCAGTAATAACCAGAATCAGCTTTATGGTATCATCGTCTACATTGAGCGCGGAGATTGCAAAAACCCAGAAAGGTGCAACGCAGAGAAGCGTGAATGTGATTATGTGAACATACATGTTGCCAAAACCGAGTCTTTCCATGTTCCATCCGAAGACACAGAATGTGCAGAAGAAGGAGAGACAAGTTACAGTACAATCGTCCCTGCAATCAAATAATCCTCCAATCCATTCAGGGCTTGTGATCACGATCTTCTCCTGGAACCCCTCATGCTCAGATTGCTCCTCCTGTTGATTCTGTAGCTCTGAATCAGCAGCTGGTTCATCGTTTGTTCTTCCCAGAGGACTGTATATTGTGTATATTACTGCTGTAATTGGAGCTACAATGCCTACAGCAATGGCGACATCTTCGGCCCAGTCAGGCCGAGTTGTTCTGGTGTAGCCCCAGTAGAGCCCACAGAGGACATATTGAGCGAAACAGGTGATGTGAAGGAGAATCACGACGACCAACATATGTGTCCGCTCATGGGGCTTCGGAACTCCATTTTTAGTGTAGATTTTCCTCAGCTCGACTTCATCTCCTGCTCTCCATCTCATCAGCAGAACTAGCTGGTGGAAGAACTTGGGATGCTCATACAGAGCCATAATGGTGAACAGGGCGTTGAGGATCTGGTTTATGATTTCAGACCAATCTTTTCTTCTACTGCTGCTCGGAATTGCGTCATTGAGGATTCCTGTCATGATCAGAAACAGCATGATCAAGCCTGCTGCAACGAAGAGTAACCAGATGAAGAGGGCTATGTGTTCCGGACTCCTGATCCAGTTTTTGAATGAGCTCCACAGCGATTTCCAGCGGATTTTGCGGACGAAAGGAACGCGAAATCGGCGGCGGCGGGGGGCGGGGGGGGGCCGCCGCCGTCGAACGCCTCGGACTCGGGAGGGGGAGAGGAGGATTCCATATATGGGCCGGAGTTTCGCCGGAGGATTTTGAGAAACCATTCGTTGGATGGTCTGGCTTTGAGAAAATCAAGGAAGCGTTTTTTCTTCTCGCGTCTGCTCTGATTCAAGAGACCTCCTTCGATCGCCGGAATGTAGATTGGGATGTAATCTCTGAGTTTCATTCCGGTGCTGATTCTCTGTGGTTCTTCGTGGATTTCGGAGTTTGGCGCAGTGTTCTGAGATGAATTCATCTCAATTTTGATGCGAGTTTGATCTAAAAGTTGAGTTTTTGGGGAATTCCTCAATTCAGAGAGGAGAGAGCTTGCTGATTTGAGAGATTGGGAGAGATTTTCAGTAGATTGTGGCCTGAAAGAAAGTTTTTTTCAGCCAATATCAGAATTCAGTTTCATATCAGGGACAAGAAAATTAAAAATTGTAATTGTTTCGGCAATAAAAAAATTAAAGGGGAATTTACATGCACAGAACCCAATTCTTATGCATTAAGTTACCTCAAATCAAAACTGGCATTTTTAAGGACTCAATACCCAATTTACCCTTTTCAACAGTCTGCAACAGTAAAATTCACATTTTCATCCATAGATAGGTTGTTGGGTTTGTAAAAATCTAAATTTTGATGTGAGATAGATAAATGCATAAAAATTAGAAATTTTCAAAAATTAAAATTTGAGCTATGAGTTTGGAAGATCACTTAAAAAAATGACTAGTTGAAGGCATTGCTTAACCTTTTAACTATAATAAAAGTTCAACTTTATAGCTTGTGTGTGTCGTAGAGACTATTATGTACAGAGTCCGAATGTATTCGGATTTCATGTGTAACATTGTTATACACTGTTGTAAATATGTGTATGGCAATGTGCAATGTTGGTGTACACTGAGTCCAAATACATCCGAATACCACACGTAATAATTTTTTTGTATATGAATTGTGTAAATTGAGATGAAGATATGAAGTAACTTACTAACGTTAAAGAAACCCCCAACTTAGCCCTAGGAAAAACTCACTCAATTTTAGCTGATCATTTGCGTGGCCCAAGAAAGAACTAGCCCTGATGAAAGTGACACTTGTCATATTCAAGAGAGCACTCTCCCGATCCAAAAGGAGGGCACTTGCCCTCGTCGTATCAGACACTCGTCCGGCTCATGAAGGAACTCGCCCGACTTGTAGAATATACTTGCCAAGAGAGTAGCCCATGTGTATTCATTACCATATAACAATTAAAGTATGAATTAATGATGAGTATCCTAATTTGAAAGAAGGTTCTCTAGCTCTACTTTTTCCCATTTCTCTTTCATGTCTTTTATTCTCTGTTCCACTAAGATTTCATGGATTCTATAACTTTTTGTTTAGGTGTGTGTGAGAAGTTTGAGTTTTGAAGCTAATTTATGAAGGTTTCAATCTCTTAATAATCACTTAAGAAATTTTACCAAGCCAACAGACACCAAAACAAAAGATTTGAAAACAGAAACGTAATTTATGAAGAAGAAACCTATAAAAACATAAATTTTACAGAGATGAAAGATCAAACTTCTTATTTCAGCTAAAACTCTCAACTTTCAGATTCTGATTCAGCACTGTCTCTTTTTCCTCCATTAAACAACCCAATTAAGCTAAAGAAAACAAACAGATACAGAAAACATGGAAGAAACAGAATCAAATTTGAAATACCTTAGCTTAACAGCAGGAA